CCCCAGCAGCCGCCGGCGGGCTGCGCGCCTCTTCGAGTGGCTCGTCGCGCCGCTGCCGCCCGAACACTTCTACCGGCGCCTCTGGGAGCGGGAGGCGGTGCTGGTGCGGCGGCAGGACCACACCTACTTCCAGGGTCTTTTCTCCACCGCGGACCTGGACGCCATGCTGCGCCACGAGGACGTGCAGTTCGGCCAGCACCTGGACGCCGCGCGCTACGTCAACGGGCGGCGGGAGACCCTGAACCCGCCGGGCCGCGCCCTGCCGGCCGCCGCGTGGTCCCTGTACCAGGCGGGCTGCTCGCTGCGCCTGCTCTGCCCGCAGGCGTTCTCGCCCACTGTGTGGCACTTCCTGGCCGTGCTCCAGGAGCAGTTTGGAAACATGGCTGGCTCCAACATTTACCTCACGCCCCCCAACTCCCAGGGCTTCGCCCCCCACTACGACGACATCGAGGCGTTCGTGCTGCAGCTGGAAGGTAGGAAACTCTGGCGGGTCTACCGACCCCGAGACCCCACCGAGGAGCTGGCCTTGACCTCCAGCCCCAACTTCAGCCAGGAGGACCTGGGGGAGCCGGTGCTGCAGACGGTGCTGGAGCCCGGCGATTTGCTCTATTTTCCTCGGGGCTTCATCCACCAAGCCGAATGCCAGGACGGGGTGCACTCTCTGCACCTCACCGTGTCCACGTTCCAGCGCAATACCTGGGGCGACTTCCTGGAAGCCGTGCTGCCCCTGGCCATGCAGGCAGCGATGGAGGAAAACGTGGAGTTTCGGAGGGGTCTGCCCCGTGACTTCATGGATTACATGGGGGCCCAGCATTCCGACTCCAAGGATCCACGGAGGACCGCTTTCATGGAGAAGGTGCGGGTTTTGGTAGCCCGCCTGGGACACTTCGCCCCTGTCGATGCTGTGGCTGACCAGCGGGCCAAAGACTTCATCCACGATTCTCTGCCCCCTGTGCTGACTGAGAGGGAGAGGGCACTGAGTGTGCACGGACTCCCGATTCGCTGGGAGGCCGGAGCGCCTGTCAATGTGGGGGCCCAGTTGACTACAGACACAGAAGTCCACATGCTTCAGGATGGGATAGCTCGCCTCGTGGGTGAAGGAGGCCGTCTGTTTCTGTATCACACAGTGGAAAACTCTCGTGTGTATCATCTAGAGGAGCCCAAGTACGTGGAGATCGACCCCCAGCAAGCTGATGCCCTGGAGCTCTTGCTGCGCTCCTACCCAGAGTTTGTGAGAGTAGGGGATCTGCCCTGCGACAGTGTGGAGGACCAGCTCTCCTTGGCAACCATGTTATATGACAAAGGGCTGCTGATCACCAAGATGCCTCTAACCTTGAACTAGTTCCTTGTGGATTGCTGGATGCCAGACAGGAGAGGTTTTCCCTTTCCACCAGCACCTTTCGTGTAAAAATTCATACTCTTACCTGGCTGACCTTCATTGGACCGTGTGTTCACATTTACCTTTATAGCTGCTTCTACGTCGCACACTTTCGATGGTCTTCTGGGAATCATCACCGCATCTAGGTACAAAATAAGAACAAGGTGGAACAAAAGAAGCTGCTTATTTGCAGCAGTAACTTGTGTGTGTAGTCATTTCAGAGGACCAGCTTCATCGTTGTCCTGAGGAATCGCCACCCAATGTGTAGCCCCTGCTCTAGGTGAAGTTAGAAAGTTTGTATTTGGAATTTGCATCCTTCATTTGGATTTTCTTTCATCCCTTTGGGAGGGCGGGAGTGGGGTCAGTCTCCTGTTTGTTATTGTGGGTTTGTATGGACAACAGAAAAGTTTAAATTAAAGTACCAATGACTGTTTTTCCTTTTCTAAGGCTAGTTCATTCTGTGGTGTGGTTTGAAAAATGTGGGGAAAGGAGGAAGATAAGAGAAATTGGTCAGGGCCTAGCAGAAAGCAAATTAGGGTGGTTGTGGGCTGTCCAAGCAACATGTTCAGCATTTTCAAAAGAAGAGAAATTCATCTAGTTGAGGCTAGATCTTTTAGTTCAGGGGTAATGAATTCATCTTAAGTATGCAATTTGACCCCCAAATAGCACAATCCTATTACAAAAGTTAACCAGCTTTGTAAGTATGTTACTCAGTGGTTGGCATCACTCCCAGAGGGGCACCTGTCCTAGGCCCCAGCCAACCAGTTTGAAGTCAGCTGACTATAGGGGAAGCTGATGTTCAAGTCACTTTTCCACTTTCATTTTTTTCTGGCAGTTGGAAGACACTTTCCCAAATCTGGCAAGTGAATATTCTCATGGTTGGTGGAAAAGAGCCTGTGTACCTGAGAGAGCCCTGGACTTGGAACCGGAAGACCTGGGTTTTGGGTGGTGACTGGTAGACAGACACTGCTGCTGCCACCCCTGGGCATGCAGATTTTGTAAGTATATTTTGGTACAGCTTGGTTTTCTACCTACCCGCTCATTTAGGCTGTATCTGAAACTTAAGATTCACTCGGAGAAGTTCAATTATATAGGGTTGCAAACCTCATACAGTTGTTTGTTTTTAATTTATAAAAGTGTTGTTAGGTACCGACCTGCTGATTCTGACTCATAGCAACCCTGTGTACCAGAGAACTGCTGCCAAGGCTCGGTGCCAAGGCTCAGTTGTTGCTGTGCTTGAGCCCGTTCTTGCAGCCACTATGCCAGGCCATTTTATCAAGGGCCCCCCCTCTTCACTGACTTTGCTCTGTTACATACAGTAGGGTCACGATGGGTCAGAACAGACTCGACAGCATGTAACAACTCTACCAAGCATGATGTCATTCTCTAGAGCAGAAACAAACCAAATCCACTGCTATCAAGTTGATTCCAACTCACAGCAACCCTCTAGGGCAGAGGAGAAGTGCTCCTTTAGGGTTTCTGGGGCAGTAGCTGTTGGAGGATTCGAACCACCAACCTTACAGTTAGCAGCCCATTGTTCAACCATCAGGGTTCCAGGGCCAACACTTGCATAAATAAAGTAAAAGTGATATCTCCCTCTCCGGCCCCAGTGGCCACAGTTGACCACTATTTAGGGTTAAAGCTTTCAGGGCATTTTGTTGTTGATATGAAGCAAACACACACAGTGGGTTTTTTTTGTTTTGAAAAGACTAATGTTTTTTGGATATAGCCCTTTTTGACCTCAAATCAGTTCAGCTAGAGCTATCTTACTTTCTTAAAAGGTACAACACAGCAAATGAATACAAACTCGAGGTTAGGAAGGTTCGAGAATGGCCAAGAGGATAGTGGCCAAGAAGAAAGGAAGTGGCCTGTCCAGATCGTTTCACTCACCAGGCTCCACACTGAGCCCCCAAATACCCAAACCAGTGTTTCCCAAAGCAGGTGATACTGCCCCCACCCCCGGTCCAGGGGTGGGGTGGGGTGTGTGTGTGTGGGTGCTGGATCGATCCAGGAGGCTACAAAACCAGATCGCTATATTTTATCCCTGGATGATTATGGGCTATAGTATAAAAGTTTTTAATTGCCAAAGGGACGCTGAGTGAAAAAAAAGAATTTTTTTCCTGAAAAGTGACAGTCGGTTAATTAAGATCCAGAAGCTGGAAGAGGCATGCTAAAGACGTCAAGGCATGGGGCTCACCCCTAAGGAACTTACCCTGAAACGTGTCTTGGAGAAGAGTATGAAGTGTCAATGGTTTTTGCCCCTCTTGGGGTTGTGGTAAGTAAATGCGTTTTGCTTCTTCCTTCACTTTTCTGGTGATCGCCTCGATTCTGAGTATTTCCTGGGTTAGCAGGTCCCTTTGGCTTAAGGTGTGAATCTAGATCAGAGCAAATGATCTTGAAAACAAACAAACTTGCACTAGGCTGCAAACCATCAAACATTAATAAAGTAATTGACAGTATCATGCTTATTAGTATAGGGTGGGCCAAAAATGCTGGCGAAGAGTAAGAGTTCCGGGGAAGTTCAGGAAAAAGAAGACTAAGTGGCTGGCCACAATCCCTCATTTCTTCTTTATCTCTGCCTGTAGGAAAGAAAGAACTTGGGCCCAGGAGCTCATGGGGAGGAGATGCGGGTAGCAGGAAACCAAATTTCAGAAATAGTAACCACATCCCTGATTTTGAGGGCCATTTGATAGGACTAATGGGAGTTTTGTTTTGCTAATTGGATTTTATAACCTGACCACAGATGTTTTATATCTTCAAATGATAATGGTATTTGTAGCGGGGTGATAGAAAATATGTCTGTGGTGGAGAAAAGGATAGTACATGCTTAGAGGGGAACATGGGTCTGAGGAAGTCCTGAAAGCCCTTTGCTCCCCCCTTGAAAACAGCTTGCACTGCTCGACCTTGTTCTTGATTTCCTGAAGCATTTCCTTGTGGCCTTCATTTTCTAAATGGAGCATCTTCATTGCCTGAGACAGCTCTCTGAAAGGTAAGAAGGACCGTTCAGATTGTTTTACCATAGCCTTTAAAAAGGCATGAGATCACCTCGGCCTTTTGGCTAAGAGCGAGTAAAGAGGCATAAGGATGGGGAGCACAGGCAAGAACCCTCAGTGTCAGTCCTACCCGGGCAGTTTTACCGAGCTTTTTCTGCAATAGTAGTAGTGAAGCTTAGCTTATAAGGATGTACAATTTGCAGATGATATATTGAAAGGTACTAATTAGGTGCCCAGGTGGTGTAGTGGTTACACATTAGGCTGCTAACTGCAAAGCCAGTAGTTCGAGACCATCAGGTGCTCCAAGATGTGTGGCTTTCTACTCCCTTAAAGAGGCATAGAGGGACACACAAACCGTGTCCGATAGGGTCTCTGAGTCAAATGGCAGTGAGTCAGTTGATGCTATTTCTGGAACACGTCATCTCAGTACAACTCCATAAGGTAAACGCAGCTGTGCTTGTGCATAAAGAAACGAACGGACTCAGAGGCTAAGTCACTTGTCCAGGGTCATATAGCTAGTGGGTAGCAGAGCTAGGATTCAAACACTGGGTTTTTTGACAGAAAGGACTTGTCAGAGTAGGCACTTAATAGAGGAGAGCTGAATAAATTAATAACTTCAAACCACCTGGGCAGAGGAAAAGCATGGGCACCTCTTCGGCTTGACTTTCTATCTGTTTAGCCCAATATTTCTGTTACCCACTTGGTAAGTACAGGTGAAGAACATAGGTGAGCCTGAGCTTTTACTGTCATCGGGCAGTCTGTGAACCAGAGCTCTAGCACTTACTTCAGGACAGCATCATGACTCTCTAGGAGCAGCACGTCTAGAAAGGTGTCCCTGACCTGGGGCCCCTGAAGGTTGAGAGCCAGTATGCTCCGGCAAGCTTCCAGCCGTACGCTGGGTGATTCTTCATAGTGGATAGCCCAGAGCAGGAGATCTGTCAGCTGGGGATTCACTTGGCCAATCTGTCCCAAAGCTACCGAGATGAAAGGGAAATAAAGGTCCTCTGTCACTTAAGACTTGGCTGTATGCAGACACCCAGAAACAATGGCTGTAATAGTGCAGAAATGACACAGGCAGCCACTTGGTAAATCGAGTCAAGGCAGGGTGGCGGGGAAGGGAGGCACAATTACTTCCTGGGTTTACTCTGGCCTATTTTGCTAGGGACTGTATCTTCCTTCACAGGCAAGGAAGGGATGGAAGAGAAGCTAAGGTCACCCTCTCCTCTATACTCCACCCACTCTTTAGAATCTGGGGATCATGGGTAATGAGGTCTTTGAGGTGAGCTAGAGTCATTAATTCTGAAATACCTCGAATGGCAAAGGCCTTGATTTTCCAGGAAGGTTCTCTCTGAAGCAGATTCAGGAGGCATTCAAGCACCTGGGGTAGATAAAAGTTCATTGTTGAATGAGGAGGACCAGAACAAGTGGAAATCAGTGCCAGGGACGCCACCCGTCTCTAAAATGTGTTCTAACTAAAAAATGGCCTTCTGTCCATTTTAGTAAGAGATGAGCTGGAGCTCAAAGTAACCCACCTGAGTACATAGTACAGTCATTGCTGGCTTATCGGGTTTCTAGATGGAAGCCACTCAGTGGTAGCAGGTTTGGGGAGATTAGCCCACATCTCCAGCTATCCATATTTCCTTTGGGTAATGTGATCTGTTAGTCCCAGGAACTACTAGGGGTTTAGAACCCTGGCATCTCTGGTTGGCACAATTGGCTAAGTGTGCTCAACTAGTAAGGTTGCTGGTTAAGAGGTACCTCAGAAGAAAGGCCTGCCTATCTGTTTTCAAAAGGAAACCTCTTGGAACTGCAGTTCTACTCTGTAGCATTTGCCATCGTCTGGATTTGGCAGCAGGTAGTTTGGATTTTTGGTTTGTTGCTTATGGAAGCCCACCAGCAACCAGGTAATGAGAAACTAGTTAACTGAGGTGAGAACAGAAAGATCAGGAAAACATGGCCATGCCTTAGAACCAATTCTGGGCTGGTTGTTAATGAAATATGGTCCTCAGGGATTGATGTGACTTAGCTATACCTCGTCACCTTCCTGGGCTGATGTCACTCATTCTGTGCCCCCAGTGACTGCTAACTGGATTGTGCATAACAGAGAAGATGCAGGGGAATGCCCCTTAAGTACACTGGGAACACGCTTTCCGGCTTTACCATCTTGTCACGGATCTGCAGGGCTCCGGCTGCCAAACAGGCTTCCTGGCGAACTGCCACACATTCGTCAGAGAAGCAGCTGAGAAAGTTTGGGAGAAGCTTGGCAGTCATGAGCTTGAGACCACGAATCAGAGAGAGAGCTTCTACACGCTCCCGGGAGTTTCCTTGACCCAGCTTGACTCTATAAGGCACAAGGTGATTTTTTATTTCCTCTATTTAGGGCTCCAGTTGCCCTTCCTCTGTTATAACATCCACAGGGGCGGGGGATCCAAGCTCTCCATTATCCAACCCATCCCTCCCTTCCTATCCAACCTTATGCCTATTTAGGTAAACTTCACCAGGTCTCACTCTCACTCCCAGCCACCTTGCAGGACAGGGCAGAACTGCCTGTTGGCTTTCCAAGATGTTCCTATTACCTAGCATCTACTATGGTGACTGAATAAAGGCATTTTCACACATACCTTTGCCACAGTCAGGTTGTCCTCTCCACTGCCCTCACCTTTGTCCTGCTCAATTCTGCATCTGGCTCCCTGGAATGACTCTTCTCTCTGACCTTCCACCTCTGGCCCACCTGGAGCATTCCATTGTTCTACTCCCACAATTATGGTATAGTAGTTATGTTATAATTCTAATTTTTACTATAATTTGTTATTGATATTTTAATTAGGTATTTGTTTCTCGTGTGTGTAATCAGAATCCTGTCAAATTTTTGAACTCCCTAAACAAGGCCGAACACCTAGTGGATACTCTTCTCCATAGCCATGCAGGGACCGTTACCTTTTTTTATTTTTAAAAAGAGCCCTGTAAACAGGACATAGTACAATGCTTTAACATACCAGAAGAACCCAGTAAAGGTCAACTGGCTTGACCCAAAGCTCTCTGAATAGTTCTAAGACTAGAAAAGTTTCCTCATGTTGACATCAACTTACCTGATCTTGTCATGTACCTCTTTTCCAAGGTTCATGTGCCCCAAAGCTTGAGCTGCCTCCTGCCTCACTGTCTTATTCCAGTCGCTCCACATCAGTTCGATCAGCTTATTTTTCATATCCTACAAGTCGTTGGGATAATCGGCTACCATTTATTGAACATTAGTTTTGTGACTCTGCTAAGTATTTTTTACCTGTGATAACTCACTTCAACCTCCCAAACAATATAATGAGGTAGGTGTTAGGATGTACAGATACCATAGAGGTTTGGATGAACTTGCCCAGGGTTAACCTGGTCATTGCTAGAGCCAAACTCAAACCCTGGCCTGTTTCCAAAGCACATGCATTAAACAACTCTTGTGCTGGGACCCATTTAATTTGTACCTGAGATACTTAAAAATGTTGCTCAGTGCCCTACTTCTGTACTGAAAGTCCTGTGTCCCGGGAAAGCCCTCAAGCCCAGGCAAACCAAGACAGTTGGTCACCCTATGCTTGAAAATCTATTGCTCCTAGAAGAGAAGGGACAAGATTACTACAGTTGTCCTCAATGATTTGTGTAAGCTTTTCTCTCTTCCTGAAATGTTTCTCTTCTCTACCTGGTACCTGTTGTTTCCAACGTAGTCTTTTAGGATTTTGCTGCAATAACATCTGCTCACTGAAGTCACTTAACAACTACTACTTCCGTGCTCTGTAGCATGTTGACCATGAGACCCTTGAGGACAGAGACGTCATTCATCTTTGTGAGTAGCCTGGCATCTAAACTGCTTGCTCACTGAATGAGTAAAGGAACCGATGGATCAACTGCCTTTCTCAGTTCCAGCAGTCTGACCGACCCGGAGTCCTCGCATCCTTACCTTGTTCCCTGTGAGTTCTGCTAGTCTTTGTACTCTCAGATGCCAACCCTTAATGGCACATGCTGAGGAGGTGAAATGACTGGGCTACTGTTAAAATTCTAATGTTAGAATGCAGATTCTGACTGCTGCCCTCAGATGAGTCCCTATTTCTAACTATCTCCCGGGTGAGACCTTTCCTGTTGGCCCTTGAAGGTAGTAAATAGCAGGGTGCTGTAGCACTTGAGGCAGGATTCTCCCACTTTGAATAGCTTGTTAAAGGAGCCCTGGTGGTGCTGTTGGCTAGATTTTGTAGTGCCCACACCAAGAGGGGAGGACTACAACGAGGATGAATGCTAACAAGCTAGAGAGGGTTCCCTTCTCATGGGAGTGGCAGAGTTCTGAGCCATTTAGAAGTACCCAGAGAGATGAGGGAAAGAGCTAGTAGAAAATGAGACAAATCCACCCCACCCAACCCCGGACAGTTGGAGATGGTTTTGAAAGAATGGCAAAACTGAGGCCAAAGTGAGTCATGATGGCTTCCTGGCTTCCCTGCCCTGGAAACGCCTCTATAGCCACCAATACAACAAAAATATTGGAGAGTGTGTTACAATTATTGCTTGTTCTTTAGGTGTGTGTGTGTGTGTGTGTGTGTTGCTGCTAAAACTGTACTATCAGGATTTTAGGAAGGATTGTTTCATACCTTTTTCTTGTGTGTACTAAACATTCAGGGAAAGTCAGCACTAATAGAATTGGATTGTAATGAATGAATGAACTGGGTTGTTAAGCAGTTTAAGTTAGTTAATGCTTCTCAAACTATCAGATGAATGACCAGCTCTTAAAAAAATTTTTTTGGGGGTGGGGCAGGAGTGTAGAGAAGGGGTTATAATGGTGGAATCTTATACAATTCACTGGTGTTGAGACCATTTTCACATTACTATAAAAATTTCAACAGTGTTAATCTCTGTGCTTGTCCTTATTTCATTGTGAGTCAGTCAGTTGTGAATTCCCACCGCACCGAGCACACGCGCCTAAGTCACAAGAAGACGTGTGAGCATATGAAGACCATTTGGGATTCGGAGTGTGAAGCAGCCATGTGGAGACAGATCTCTTTGATAACAATGGGATACTAAGTAGCACAAAAAGTAGAAGAGCTCCTAGCCCAGTCTTGCTTCAGCTGTCTGTTCTAGAAGCACAGAATGATGCAAACTTACCAAACTGACACTGCCACTGATGTGGGAGAGAGCCCGGCAGGCCACGACCCGGTCCTCCCACTGCGGGCTGCTCAGCTCCATGGCCAGCATGGTGTGGATCAAAGCCTGGGGAGGCAGAAGGGCGGGGAGGGGAGTGAAGGTCACCATCACTTTCAGAGACAGTGGGACCATGGTGAGACTGCATCACAACACGGGACGGGCATCAATAAAATCACAAGTACATATGCTGTCCGTTCTAGCAAAGGAAAGAGTGAGCTTACAAGACGTGGGGTACTATTCCCTCTGAGCCAGCTGATTCTGGGATCTTACCAGGAACAAAAGATGGTGTCAATAAGCAGCACAGAAAGTTCCTGGGGCTTTCTCTCCTTGACTTTAATTGTCTTTAAAGTGATTTGTGTATATGCCTCAGTTTGAGGGTTTCACAAGTAACTAAACACAGTTGTGTTTGGTGTGAAGTTTTCTTTGGCAGACTTCTAGCAGAAGCACATTCTGTACAGTTAGAAACCCTCCACTCTTTTTTCCCTCAGCAGACTCCTGTCGTGTGGCTACATCTCTGAGTCCACGTTCACGCCCACACAGTCCACTTTTCTGTCTAGGCTTGAGATCACCCGACCAGACTACAAGCATTTTCGACTCCTTATGAACACTGGCGCCAGAGGCCCAATTGTTTCCCAGACTTTGGTTCCTTTCTCTGACCCTCCAGTGGATACGTACTGTCTTCCTGCTGAGATGGCTCAGGAGGGCACACGATTGATCCTCAGTGTCCTTGTCCTTCTGGTTAAAGAGCTGGTTGAGAATCCTCTTAATCACGGGGTAAGTAGCGTCCCCTTCCAGAGCCAAGCACTGAGCTGCAGCCCAGCTGTCCGCCACATCACCTGCCGCGGGGGTGGAACAGAGGAGTGCACGATGGTGACCTGCCTAACCTGCCTGAGAGCTCTCTTCCCTGTGTTCCACCCAGTCTCGAAATCTAATCCCATATTTCAGCCATTCTGAAATGGAGCCTAAAAAGTTGTAAATACACGTCAAAAACTCAACCCGAAGGGTCAAATCCTAAAAAGCTCTCATTAGAGAACCAAGCAGTACTGGACTTCTCTCCTGTCAGGCACTGTTCCTCCTGGAGGCTGGGGAGGTGGGGGTGGAGGCCCAGGTGAACGGAGCAGTTGTCTATGCAGAAGCCAGGCTAGGCAGTCAGCTCCTTGTTCTCCCTTTTAAGTCATGGAACAGCCACTTCCTGGAACAGGGACCTGCCACTGAACAGCCTTTTTGACTACCACTCCCATGATGCCACTGGGCAATACCTGGAAGTTTTTGTGTAGAAATGGCAACATGATGTATTCAGAGAGTGATTTAAAAAAAAATTTCCACAAAGAATTCTTTGATATCTTTTCTATGTTTTCAGGTGGTCCCTGAAGCTATTGTTCTGGGGTCACCTTTTATTTTATTTGATAGTGGCTCTTAAAGCTCTTTTCACAATCCCTACATATATCCATTTTGTCAAACACATCTGTACATATGTTGTCATCTTTTTCAAAACGTTTTCTTTCTACTTGAGCCCCTGGCATCAGCTTCTCATTTTCCCCCCTCCCTCCCTCCCTTCCCCATGCCCCCTTGATATTTTATAAATTATTCTTTTTTTCCCCCCTGTCTTACACCGACTGCTGTCTGATTTCACCCACTTTTCTGTCCATCCCCTGGGAGGGGGGCCATACGTTGATCATTGTGGCCAGTTCCCCCTTACTCCCTACCCTTACCCTCCTAGTATCGCTGCCCCCCTTCACCTTTAAGCCTTAAACAAACAAAAAAAAACTAGCTGAACTAGTGAAAAAAGAGATCTGCTTTGAGTATTATTCTAAGAACTATCTACCAAAAATACCCACAAAAATGACATGGGGTCAAAGTGACAACAGCAACTTGAAAGATGGGACAGAAACCGTAGGGGGCAGTGAGTTCAGGAGGGAGGAGCAGCTCAGAAGGGGAGGGGAGGGTGGCTTCACAGCTGGGAGAACGGGATCGTCACTGGATTGTTCATATAGAAACTCTCATTGGTGTGTGTTTGGGTGTATATTCTGAGCGACAAAAGTTTTAAAGAAATAATGCAGGATGGAGAGGGCCAGGAAAGGTCATGTTCACATAGTGCTGGTGAAGGTGTAAGCTGATTCTTTTCCTGTTGAGAAAATCAATTTAACGTGTATTGGATACTTGATCCATTCTACAATCATTACACATCAATTTTTAATAACACCGTGAGAAAGAGGTGCTTTGAAAGGGGAACATAGGTTTCCGTGAAATGCAGTGGTTAGTTTTATCCTGGGTGTTGTATCACAGGTTCCACTTGGTGGCAGTGTCCCTCTGGTAAAAGCTCCTTGGAAGAAAGAAGCTCTGCCTATTCTGCCATTTATAAACCCCAACCTCCGGGAAGGCAGACATCAATGGAAAAGCCCAGTGAGCCAGTTTGTCTCTCTTCACCTCCGACTTCCTGGTCAGAAACAACAGGGAGCTACTTACCCTTCAAAAGGGCAGTCTGCATGATGTTCCGGGCCAGGGGATTATGTGACTGTATGGCATACTGGCACAGCGCAGCGGCCATCTGCACGTTGACATTCTGGTCACAAAGAGCAGCCAAGAGGGGGCGCTGTAGAGCCTCTGGTAAGTCCTGAACGATTGGGTCATCCACAGTCTTTCCATCTGTGAGCAAAAGAGAGCTTTTCTCTCAGCTTCCTTCCTTGTGCCACATGTCGGCCAGCTAGCTCGGCCCAGGGGCAGGTTCATACTGCTGCTGAAAGTGACTGATGTTAGCTAAGCTCCAGCAACGGGCAGGACTTTACAGCTCAGGACAAGCCC